ACAAATTAAAATAATGAAATGAGACGGAAGTCAGTCTACTTTTTTTACATTCTCTGTTTACAACTTTACGACCCGATCATATCGAAACAAGTCTAGCACTTTCGTCTACAGCGACTACATTTTAGATGAAGTCTTTATATATTTTAATGATATTCAATCTTCTAATTACACGTCACTAGGGTCAATACTGCATACTCATGTATACTTAACTTTCATAGTACTTACTTCTTTTAGAACACGAAGGTATAGAAGTGCCCTCAGTCTGGCATTAACCTAGCAGTAGACACGTCAATAGCCTAGTCCAGAAAAGATGTCGAAAACTTGGCTGTAAAAAGCACACCAAACCAACTGCCAGGAGTTGTCGCAAAATAATGGCGTGTACTTTTAGAATGGTGGTTAAGAACGTTTTGATAGCGCCTTTATTTGTCACGTGATGTACATCGCGTCAATTTCAGTCCCTAGAAGTTATGATATCACGAGGTTTCGAAGGCCTGCTGTGACCTTTGTCTTTTGATGAGTTTATTCAGTGGTTAATCATTTCCCATAATTTGTATTTGTATTGTATAGATTGTGTCAGAGGTTATTATGCTATCCAATCAGAATTAATATTTCAATCGAATAAATATGACTCCTGTTATCTGATTATATTATCTTGAACATATCATATCAAATATATGACGAATCTGTTTAAATGTTCAAATTTCAAATTTCGTTTTGCCCTCGTCACGTAGGCCACGTATTTAACACACATCTTTATTTTGGTAGATTGGTAAACAATTTTCCACTCAAATATCGTATTCCCTTCCTACCACACCATAGACTGTAATTTTAAATACTTGATTATAAGAAACATTACCGTACGAGCTTTTAAGGGGGTCCTCCAGGCTAGTAGGAGCGAATTCTCACTACTAACTCACGATTAAGCATGCAAGAAATTAAATGAAAGAGTTGATGAATAAATAAATGTTTAAATAATAATTTGTAAGTCCCTGAGACCGACAGCCCAGAATAGTAACAGGAAAATAGACCGATAAATCAAAGACCTAAATAAGAAAATATAGAATGAAGTTAGATAAGTTTAAAGATTCTGACGACCCACGAGACCACCAGCCGATGTGACCAACAGCCCATGAGACCGATAAACAGAAGAAATACACATGGGAAGATGGAAAAATGCAAGTCTCGTGGACCGTCACTTTGGCGAAAATTATTAAAATTGCCTAGAAAGCACAGAAGACCGAAATTTTGGTATAGTGGTCGGATGGTATCATGGGCTGTCGGTCTAGTGGACCATCAACGAAATCGCCAACAAAGAAAGATTAACAGAATCATTAAGGTAATAGTATATTTGTAAAGCGCTTAGAGACGTTTGTATTAAGCGCTATATAAAAATTAAATATTATTATTATTATTATTAAGGTTGGATTCGGATGTTTATAATTTTTTGCATATCGAAATCTATGATCCCAGATGAACTCAATTCGGTTTATTACTGGATTAGAAATGGAAAATACATTTTTTTTGTAAAAAGTAAATATACAAGATGTAAAAATCTGCCTCTATATACACCCCTCCCTCTCGTCAATTTAAAAACTACCAATATTCCCGTACTCGACACCTGATATTCGGGCAGTGAGGTGGTCGATTCAATTCAATTTATTTCGCAATATAAAAATCAAAGTATACAAGGTAACAGTCAATTTTGACTATATACAAAGGTTATATGCGGGACTTTCCATGAAGGTTGCGAAAACCTGTAAAATTGGATCGCCCATTACAGAAATACAAAATAAGTACATAACAATAAATTAAGTAAGATAAGCACAGTACAGACACTTGAACTGACATATCATTTTAAAACCACTATTGTGTGAATTCTGTACAAAGATTACATAACAAAACTCACGAAAGCATAAACTCTTGTAAATTACTATACACAATTTGTGTACGAAGGGGGGGGGGGTCTACAATTGTGTTTGTAATTTTATTTGTAATATTTTTGCTACATTTCCTCTATATCTGTCTTTACTCGCATTTCTCTCTTGCAAAATATATAAAGTGGTGATTTGAACTGGGCGAGCGACCTCAGCCTCCCTGCCCCCCCCCCCCCGTAGACAAATTGTGTATAGTGCTTTTATGAGTTTTGTTATGTAATCCTGACATACATAAATAATACATAATTCGCACACAAGTGATTTTAAAATGATATGTTATGCAGAAGTTTAATGATCATAAGCCATGGTGGGGCAAGGTGGAACAGGAAAATATGGGATAAGGCGATGCCATCATCTTATGATTACCCTTTACTAATGACATCTTTCCGTAGCTAAATATATAATATGTGTTCCATTATTCAATTAATTCTTTAAGTTATACGTATTCAGTTTGAAAAATGTAGAGTTTACCATGAGGGTGACTCTGTTATCAGAAGAGGTAGATTTTATTTTATTAAATACTATTTTTTATTGTATTGTATCTTATTTAGTTTTATTATATTTTGTTTGTTCGTTTCAAAAATTTCCTTTTACTTTCTTTTTAATTTCTTTCAATTTATTCTACATTATCCTAATTTGAATGGAATAGGTAACTGTGTTTAATCAAATCCAAGCGTTTAAACTACCAGACTCAATCATTATCTATATATTGATTGTTTTTAATGGTTGAAGCATCTCAAGCTTTAAATAGTATGTGGGCTTAAACCTGACTCACTGGAGGTATAATGGGACAAAACCAGACATTTGTTAAGGAGTGAATATTTAGAGCAGTTTCTTTTTATAAGTATTAATATGGCTGGGCTGTCAGAAGTAGATTCATATATTTCTCTTGTTAATCATTGAGTGTTATGCGTGCACGTAATCCTTATGGCTATATTTACTGTGCAAAGTACAGTGGCAAGTGGGCGTATTTACTCCTTACTGTATTGATTTAGCTCGATATGTAAAATAAACACTTGAGTCCATATATATCTATTTCCGTGAACTCTTCGTTTAATCTAGATATATGGAGCTTAAAATCAGGTGACTTGGAAAAGATGCGTAAGAAATAAAGGAATAAAGGTATCATTATTTGTTAAGATTCATCGTTGAAATTAAAATAATATAATAAATAGTTTGTTGTCTCTCGCCACATGCACCATTTTCTTCATATTCTGTTTACTGTAATGACTGATTTTGAAGTACCAGGTGGTAACCCTAGCAATACTTTCGTCAAGCAAATGGCCAAATTATAATCCCTCTGTTTCTCTTCCTCTCTCTCTCTCTCTCTCTCTCTCACACACACACACAATACGTGGCTGAAAGTGCCCTTGAATTTGCACAACGAGACGTTTGAAAATAGTCAATGTAAAGATTCAGGTATTAGAATCCTACTTGGAACAGCTGGATCAAAAGAATGGAGTAAGTTTTTTTGTTTTGTAATTCATCACTTACCTTGTGTAAGAGGACGATACAAGAGCATTCCAAGGCTTAATAGGTTTTGTAGTCTTTGTACTTCGGACAGTATCGGGGACGAATTTCACTACTTATTTGATTGTGATAACTGCACTAAATATTTTTTCTCACCATATGACCCGCCCGAACACATCGAAAATGTTTTAACTAGACACAAAAAACGTAAGCCCCCCCCCCCCCCAAGCAATTCCTCATAAATTTTGAACCACCAAGTGTTTTTTACAAATTTACCTGAAAGGATACTAATCTGTGGTTCTCTTTTATTTTTTTCGTGTGGAACCACATGTCAAACTTCACAAGATTGATGTCATTTGTTTAGTGTACTGAGAGACAGCAACATTCATGAAGGACGGCGCTGTTTGTATGCATTGGGCTGGTTAGAGATCTCATGACACACCCTAAAGTCCATTATCACAATTTCCAAACGGAACTGAAGTGGTGTCATTACTATATTAGAATTGCGAAACAGGTAACAGATAATCCCTTGCAATGACACTGCTTCAGCAACCATTGACTCTTGCTTATTGTTCCATTAATTTGAACTCAGTCAACCGTGAAATATAGATTCATGGTCAGCAGGGTGTCAGGAGATCATTAATTAGCCCAATACATACAAAAAATATGACCGTAACAAAATAATAGCAATCTTGTTAATTTTGAAATACTGTTATTTGTCTTCAAGGCATGCTAGTCCAAGCATGACTCATTTGGGTAAATATGTTCGAAACTTTGCAGTTTAGAAAGTATGAAGGTTTGCCCGTCGATCAGAATGTATACGCTATCTTTCCTCAGCTTCGCTTCGAAAAGATAGCTACATCCAGATCACCTCGGAAGTGATAGTTTGTCCCATTACCTTCACCAACGGTAATTATTTGCTTACTCCATCTGTCTATGTATCTGTATTCGTTTTCCGTAACCCATTTACCCCTCTCTCTCTTATCTTTTTTCTCTCTCCCTCTCTCCGTATTTTCTTTCTTTCTCCTTCCCTTCCTTCTCTCTTTCTCTTGATCTGCTGATGTTTTTTATTTTATATTTAAAGAAACACGTTTGTTAATGTACACTTTGACTACGTGCTATGGCAATCACAAGAGCTGTCTATTGACAAGGCTCGCCGGGTTTACGTTTATCAGACACGAAATGATTTTTGACATCTAATAAACCCGTTCAAAGTACTGTTTATTTAGGGATAACATCACACCATGAACTTTCCAAGATAACAACGATTAAAAGGTTCAATGTGATACCAAAATCATCCTGTAGAAGCTTCTGTTCACAAACAATCCAAGCATAAAAGATTATGAGCATGGCTTATCGGAATTATATTTATGTTGGGTCGTTAACACGACTTCTACTATGATAGGTCCGTAAACTTACTAAATAATCATTGATGATAAAGCGTCTAAAATTTCCCGATGAACCTATAATCATATTTCGAGTTTCATACATGGACAAATTAATACTAACATGTATCATTTCTTTAGAACCAACGCCTTTAAAATCGTTAATTTGAAAATAATAATATCTCATTTTAATACAGTATTTTAAATTTTCGAGATTATAAGGCAGTAAAACCGTATTAAACAGTCTTAAACCAAATCAAAAGCATTAGGTTATGAAAAATTAACAATGAAGGCATAACATTTGTCATACTTGAATTATAAATTTCATGAAATACCAAATCATTAACATGATTAATGCCAATAATAAAGAAGCCACAATGGTTTAAGGCCTGGTACAAAGCTCTCTAACAAAACAAACAAATATCTTCTACAATCCCTTGACCAATATACTTGAGAAGAATCGAGTTACAGATTTTTAAAGACATGGATGGTTGGCCATATTTTGAACCTCGATCGCGGTGAGCACTCGGCCATAGATCTTGACCTCGTCAATCAAGCCATAAAAATACTCGTTACTATTCCCTGGACCTGCTTGACCAATAGTGACCGGTGTATTGCGTGTTAAAATAGGGCCAGTGCAACAGTTCTGGTTGTTGGCTGTCTGCTGCTGACCATTGAGGTAGTAGAGCAAGGTAGACCCGTCATAGGTCATGGTCACGTGGTTCCAGGCGTTCCGCAAAGCGACAAGATGTATGTAGTCCCAGGTAGTAGACGCAGTGGTTGTAACGACACCACCGCCTAACATCTGACCGCTGTTCTCCCTACCCATTCTGATCTCCCAGCTCCCTGTAGTGTAATACCCATTATTGATGATACCCTGGTAGTTCCCCCACTCACCGGTTCGCTTGAACCATACACTGACACTGAACTCCGTGCCCCAGGCGAAGTTGGCAAACGACTGGACGCTCATTTTAGACGCACCGTTAAAGGACGCGGCCTGACCGCATTGGCCAGCCGCGTAAGAAACATCGCCGGTCGTAGTTCCGTCGCGGTTGTTACCGGAGCTGTCAGTAACGTCTCCCTCAAACGGGTAGTAAGCTGGAAGAAAACCAAGGGGAAAATACCGAGGCATCACAACAGGACAATGCTCTTTTTTCCGACAAGCTACTTACAGAAAAACATTCATATTTTCAAATTTGGGGACCAGGCCGAACGCTAGTATTAAAATTGTCAATTTTGCGAGAGTACTTCCCAACAAGCTAAAGACAAAGGCTTGGAAATCGCTTGTATAAATATCTACATCTATAAAAAAAAATTAAAAAAAAGCTTTCGCATCCTGACTCTCGGACGTCAGTGCTTCTTCGGTGGCTACTGCTCAATGAACTAGTCTTAGGGTTAGCATTGTACTTGGGTTTCAGTTGATGTTTACAGTTGTAGTTAGGTTTGGGATTAGTTCAATCCTTGGGATTTCGGCTAGTTTATACAAATGTGATTGGAACAGTGTTCACAGGAGCACGTGTCCTAAACGCATTGTATGTGCTTTACAAAACAAAATCTGCGGACAGAAATGACAGAACACTTACGTGGGATAACAAGTTATGCTCAGGGACATCTTTGAAAACGGGGAAGAGGAGACCAAGAATTGGGATGGTGTCAAACTAGATAGGTGACAGATCATAATTATGACATAAGGACGAAAAAGGGATACAGATAGAGAGGGATGGAGAAAGAACAAAAGAAGGCTCTGGTGTGTGGACCTAGCTGTCTTTGACAGAACACATGCGAGAGAGAAAGAGAGAGAGAGAGAGAGAGAACTTCTTTTCTCCAACATTTCCCGAGCTGCATTTCAACGGCTAACGGTAAATGCTTCCTAAGCATCCTGGTTATACTGATTACTCTCTATATATATATATATATATATATATATATATATATATTTATTTTGTTAGGGGGGATGGGGGTCACAATGACTATTATAAATATTTTCTTTAACTTCATCGTAATTTCTTTTTTTATATTCTTCTACCTCATGCGAAAGAATAATAACTAGATTTGTAATACTTGTTTGAAACAAGTATAGGTGGGCTGGTCCAACTAAAATTTAAGACAAAATAAAGGGCACATTTGAGATAGCGTATTGTCTCAGCTACAACATACTCGAAGTTCAGCGTAAACAAAGCTAAAACGACAGAGATATTGCTCGCGAAAGACGGAAATGTAGAATCCAGTTTTGAGAAAAACTCATGTCCCTTAGAGAATACACGCAAAAAGTGAAAAATTGACATGCCTCCTTTAATCGCACAAATACGTCCTGATGCCTTTGTCAAAATGAAAATTTATGGCAACCATATTTGTAGAACATTGTCTCAGGTAGAACATATCAAAATTTGGAAGAAAATTGATCAATATTTTTAGAGATACAGTCAATTTAAAAAAAATATGCTGACATCATAATATGCAAATTGAAATTTTGAGTTCGGAGGTCATTATGATGACGTCATGAGTTAATTGAGGGTCAAATGAAACATGAAATCATATCTCCAATTTATTTTCTATCAAAATATGAAAACAAAATTGGCGTCACCTTGCAGCCTAAAGAGCTACAATGAATTTTGTATAGGCATGTTTTTGCCCATATATGCTATGTATTACAAGAGCTCGCGCGCACTGAAATTTATGTTAAACGGTCGATCATTCCGTTATTAATAGTCATTAAGAGACAAACATGGTATCAATTTGTTTGTAAAAATATGTGGAATATTATGAAAGAAAAAAAATGGCGATTCTATGTTGTGTAAAAGTTTTGCGCGCGAAAAACGCGCGCGCATGCGCGTGTGAGCAATTTTTTATAAAATGCTTAGAATGGCCTAAAACGTATGCAAAATGATTTTGAGACGATTTTGAGCATTTTAAAATTTTGCGCGCGCATTTACGCGCGGACGTACGCGCACGCGCGCGTTATTTGACCTGAAATTGACCGGACGGATATTGACCTTGATCATAATAAATATGAATGAGAAATACCTTTTGGTTATGAAGATATGATCATGAGTTGATTTTCGTAAAATTTTACAAAATGGCGCCTAGATGACGTCATCAGTGAAGGTCAATGTTGAAAACGTTATTGTGCTTTGTACATATGCCTATACATATGTGTGCCAAATTTCAAGGCATTTGATCGAGCCATTTCCAAGTTATCTTGCCAACAAAAAAGTGGTTAGAAATAAGAAAAATATATAATAACTAGATTTGTAATACTTGTTTGGAACAAGTATAGGTGGGCTGATCCAACAAAAAATTGAGAGAAAATAAAGGGTTCATTTGAGATAGCTTTTCGTCTCAGCTACAACATACTCGAAGTTCAGCGAAAACGAAACTAAAACAACGTAGATATTGCTCGCGAAAGATGGGAATGTAGAATCAAGTTTTGAGAAAAAATCATGTCCCATAGAAAATACACGCAAAATGTGAAAAAGTGACTGATGCCTTTATCAAAATGATAAATGATTGAAACTGCATTTGTAGAAAATTGTCTCAGCTAGAACATATCAAAATTTGGAAGAAAATCGATCAATATTTACAGAGATACAATCAATTTTCCATAAATATGCTGACTTCATAATATGCAAATTCGTATTTTGAGTTCCAAGGCCAATATGATGATGTCACGATACACTTAATGGCCAAATGAGAAATGAAATCATATCTCCGACTTATAATTTATCAGGATATTAAAAACAAATTGGGGTCACCTTGCATCCTAAAGAGCCACAATGGATTTTGTATAGGCATGTTTTTGCCCATATATGCTATGTATTACAAGAGCTCGCGCGCACAGAAATTTATGTTAAACGGTTGATCATTCCGTTATTAATAGTCATAAAGAAATAAACTTTGTATCAATTCGTTTGTAAAAATAGGTGCAATATTATTAAAGAAAAAAATGGCGATTCTATGTTGTGTAATAGTTTTACGCGCGAAAACGCGCGCGCATGCGCGCGTGCGCGATTTTTTATAAAATGCTTAGAATGGCCTGAAACGTATGCAAAATGATTTTGAGACGATTTTGAGCATTTCAAAATTTTGCGCGCGCATTGACGCGCGGACATACGCGCACGCGCGCGTTATTTGACCTCAAATTGACCGGACGGATATTGACCTTGATCATGATAAATATGAATGAGAAATGCCTTTTGGTTATGAAGATATGATCATGAGTTGATTTTCGTAAAATTTTACAAAATGGCGCCTAGATGACGTCATCAGTGAAGGTCAACGTTGAAAACGTTATTGTGCTTTGTACATATGCCTATACATATGTGTGCCAAATTTCAAGGCATTTGATTGAGCCATTTCCAAGTTATCTTGCCAACAAAAAAGTGGTTAGAAATAAGAAAAATATATAATAATAAATAAATAAATAAATAAATAAAGGCAATTCTAACGAAATTATAAGGTGGTCTGTACGTTATACAGCCCACCTGATAATCATTATATATACATATGCGGAGATCGCTGTATCGTGAAACGTAGGAAGGAAGGAGTGGAGGAAGGGAGAGGGAGTGTTGATTCAAATTATCCTACCATTCAAACTCAAGCTCTCAGCTTTTCAAACGTACCAACTGTTAGTTGTAAGTCTCAATTTGTTTTCAAATTTGAAGACTAATGTTCTTTTTTTGGCAATTCCCTCTTACATTTCAAGGGGACGCTCCTGTGAGAAGAGTTTGGGCCCTCTATGGTGAACTGTGAATTGTGACCCAGACCTGTACCTACAATACTGATGATGGCAGCCTTTTGGGGCGGAATGTTATCAACTCACCAATCAAGCAATCATGAGGGCAGGAAGAACACGCCATCACCGTTGATATCATAAACATGATCGTCGCTAGGAGGGCTATCAAAGTGTTCACTATCGGCGAGCTATAGAATATAGATAAGAAAAATTTTGTAACTGTGGTTATTGTAATGCAAAAGACGTAGATGTAGAGTCTGATTGGGGTGTTCTCAATATAATTTAAATTATGAAAGTTAGTAACATTTTGTGAATATTCATTACCAGTTTAATGATAAAAGTGACCATTTAATTGAAGTATTCGGGATAATTCTGAGGTAGCAGATGTCCTTACTTGCAAAATCTAACTTTTAGGAACACTATGAGTTAACAGTCACACCGTATCGAAATATTTCTGAATATGGTAAAAAGTTTTCTTCGGTAGAAAATTAAAAGCATTGAATTTCTGTATCGCTCAGAGCATAGCGACTCTACAGTTTTCAATTGTATGCGCTTTAAGCTTTACTTTTTATTGATATTTATCATTTGGATTTCGTTTCTTCACGAAATGCATAGATTGTAGCCTAATGAAAACAATCAAATAACATTTTTATTGGAAAACAATGATACACAACGAAACCAAGTTTTCTTACCCCATACTGTATAACTAATGAGAAGTGGCTCTTGCTCGAGATGACTGTAACAGACAAGTGTTGTCTTGAGAATGATTAAAGTGATATTGAATTGAAATCAGGAACGATACTTTATTTTATTCTAGTCACGTAAACACCATGCGCGGAGGACGGTAGGTATATTCAAGGACAGAGGAGGTTAGATCCGGTCCAGGAGAAATTAAAAAGAAATCAATGCAAGAATACCAGCACACATGTCCACTCGACTGGTATCTGATAGAGATTGAGCACTCTTACTTGTTTGAAGTGAAAAGAAGATAACATCGATGGTCAGCCGTGTCTTTGAACGTGGGCAAGGTCAAATTTTAAAAGCATATATAGACCTGGATAATTCAAATTATAAAACAAACATGGTTTAGTAGTATAGCATTTGACGATTTAATACTCACAACAACTTGTTATTGTTGTAATGATGGTCGCTCTCTTAAACTACAACGTGTGCAACTTTAAAAACAGCTATATGTTAGCTTCAAATAAATATTAGATTTTTATGAAAAAAATATATTTATATAAATGATTATTGCTGTACTTTCATTTAGTAGAACAATGTGTCTTTTGAAAATACTTTTTATGCCTTATTTACAAATATTTTGGAAGAAATGATTGATGATATTAGTTTACATGTTTATTTGTTCACGGCACGTTTTTTGTTGGTCGATGGATGAGGACTGTTATATTACCCTACATCCACCAACAGATGGCGCTGATGGATTAAAAATGGGTCGAAAGGTCGGGTGACATCCACATATAAGTTGATTCCTGTTGATGTGCAGGGCTGCATAGAACTTATTTTTTTTTTGTTATTTACACTTCTAAATATTTGTTATAGGTTTTTAAATTGTTTTAAAAATATTTTTTATCAGACATGCTAAGGTCCACCCTAAGAAAATGCTCCAGATCTTATTCATCTCATGACATCACCTATCAATCATTAGTGAGCTAACAAGAGACAATAATAATTACAGTGCTTATATAGCGCCTAACACTTACTTTGTCAGAAGTCTCTAAGCGCTCCACAGCAATGCAGTATGTAGCTTCACCAGAGCTGACCACCTGTTTACAATACACCATACAATACAATACCATACAATAGTAGTTGCAATGTCAGACGTGCTGTAGCATCACCAGGAGAAGAAAGGTAATGTGGAGGTATTGTATAAAGAAAAAAAATCTTGTGTGAGCATGTGCTTTGTTGAACCGCATTTAACAAAGAATTAAGAAAAGTTATCCTACCATTTAAACTAGAGTCCTCCAATTGTCAAATGAACCAACACTGTTAAACTCGTTTCAATTTTAGCCAACAAAGGTTCACATTTTTCCGTGGACCAGAAGAAGGGGTCAAGTTTGATTGTGATTCGCTCTAATATTTTTTAACAAAGGGACACCCCTGTGGGAAAATATCGGCCCTCTACGATGAACCGTGAATTGTGATCTAGACTCGGAACCACATTGCTTCTGTGATGATGTCATCCTTTTGATAAAACAAACAAACAAGATTATAACGAGGCATACAGGTGCGGAATGTTAACAGCTCATCGATCAAGCAGTCATGAGGGCTTAAAGAACACGCCATCACCGTCGATATCATACGTCGATATTCACTGGAAGGAGTAATCGGTGCGTCCCAGAAAAAACGAAACCGAGAATTATCGATATTTTATCATAACTTCATCACATTTATTACTAATAAATGAAACATATTCGAAAGCTTAGATCCTCATATATCATTTGATGCAGCTCATATGATGCATATTTCATGCATGAGGGATTAAAATGAATTTGAAGAAAGGCTACCAAAAAGTCATTTAGCGGACGGTAAGTGAATTTCAAAGAGAAAATCACATTTCTAGAAAGTTCATATTCTGCCCTTTTATATGACCCTTCAATCAGGAAAAATGAGCTAGAAATAGTTATGTTTGTCTAAAGTAATGCTTGCATTTCTATTATTTTATTACGCGAATTTCACTGGCTGCCTGCCGTAGCAATAACCAGAATATATATTAGAAACATTTATGTTTGTTATTTGATAATTATCAATGAATCAAATCAAACAAGATGTTTGTTTAACTAATGTTGATTGATAAATTGGCACTACCTGTACTTTACAGGGAATCTACGATTTGAAAAGGCGTAGTATCTGCCAAAAAACTCATTTAGAAGAAACGAGAAATACCACTGACTACCATCGAGTAAACAAAGAGGAATTATTATCCATACTTTGTTTATATGTCTTGATTGATATATTGCGCCACAAAAATCCTTAATCTAAGAAGCACATATGGGGAAGAAAGATTTAAGGAGCCAGTGAAGGTTGGATTATCATCGCAAGAGTGTGTCGAGATTTTGTATCACATTATCATTCCTTCCATCTCTACAGACCACTCAGTGATTACTCGATTGGAATTTGAAAAATGAAGAACCAGATGATGGATATTGGAAGTCCGATGCTTCTCTAAGTTCAAGTATTGTGAATCCTTAAAAAGAAAGAGATTGGTTTGGAGAAAGGAATGTGCTTCATTTGACCCTGGGTTTTCATTGGAACGTCTGAAGTTCAAAATACGACGAATGACACGAGCAAGTAGTAAGAAGAAAGTAAAAGGGGAAAAAAGGGGGAAATAATGACAAAAAACGACTGAGAGATGATGCACAAATATATAAAATCGGTAGGAAAGGAAACTACAGCAAATTCCTATTTATTCTTTCACATATGCCCTGAAGGGTGAGAAATCAATCAGTTGTTGTTAATATTTTAGCTCTAAAAACTTTGGACAAAGAGTTATGGAAATTAACCTGCCAGAGTGACGTCTACACATTCCTTCCTTTATACTAAAGTCTGCTCTACCCGAAAGCATAGAATTCCATTCTTTAGTTAGCAAAACGATTCTCCCTGGGTTATTTCAACAGCTTCCTGGTTAGTTGTAGCTGGTAAGGTTCTGAGTAAGGTTTTAAGAAAGACCATTAATAAGCTGGGAACTTTAGAAGAGGACGCTCTTTCCACTTCTATTATTTTGTATATGTCTGTCTGTCTGTCTCTCTCTCTGACAGACACACACAAACATACAATCAAACACTGGTTCTCTCTTCTTCTCTTTGTTTCTCCGTCTATCCATCTTTATCCTCCCTCTCTGTCCCTCTCTCTCTTCCTATCCCCCTCCTCCAATTCCTCTCTCCGTATATAAAAGACCCACTCTTGCTTGAATATCACAGCAAAACCAACCGTCACACACATGTAAAGGTGTAGGGGACTACACACATGAAATTCAGTCCAGCTTTTTAAACTGACAGGGCATTTTTACGATGATATACTCTGTATATATTTTCAAATAGGAGTAAATGACATATATATATTATTTGTTATTTTTACCAGGCTAAATCACTCTTTTAATTATAGGAAAGTACTATTCATTAAGCATGAAAATCATACTCAATAAGGATGAAAGTCCTACTAAATACATAACAAGATAAGAAAAAAACATGAGAACATTTTATTTTCATTTAAGGTATTTATTAGCAAAGCAAGCAAATTCGATCATTCCTTTTGATCTGCCACATCCATTATTCAATTTAAAAAAGGGTAGTTACAGAACAGATTAAAGAAGAAAAATCCTTCACATTTCAAAGAATCCATATATGCAGTCCATCTTGCATACTATTATAATTAATACGTTCGTTATCATAACCCGCTGAAACACATAGAAGCATACTAATTAGTATCCATTTAATGTTAAAAGGAAATTAACGATTCATATTTAGATAAATGAATACTAAAACACTGAGCAAACTTACAGGATAAATGATATAGTGATAAATATATTTTAAATGATTTACTTCTTTTGTACGTACATGTACCACTGGTACCAAAGGCTGGGCTTTTAATCATCATGATTATGATTTTGTGTGAACAATTGAGTGATATTCATTAACAATTTTGTGCTAAGACTTCAACATTTCGTAGTTTACTATTCAAAATACGCAAAGAGGTTCTGTTGTTTTACATGACAATCTTTGTAAATCAACTTACTATGATTTTCATAGATAGCTGCGTAATATGCATACCATACTCAACAATACACTAGATATCAAATTTCAATTTAGAAAAACTACAAAGTAGGCAAAATATTCTAAACGATGTATTAAAATTTTTTAATAATTCATTAACGATATACATGTATCAATGAACAGCATTAGCTATAACCACTAATACTATCAATACTCCTTCCAAATTATCAACATTCCAGTATCATGCAAAGTATAACCTAAAACCTTTTACAAAGACGCTATTAAACCGACTGTATTGGATACAAACACATGTATGCGTTGAGTTGTTATCTGTTTATCTCGTCCTTTCTATCTTGTTTTATATTTACACTTCTGATATTTATGCCCTTTAAGTATGGATTACACTCTACTACAATAAAACACAACACTGTTAAACAATATATAACTTCAT